TGGTCCCTGAACATAAGCAGTCCACATATGAAAGGCAGTCGACTGCTTTAAAGCTCTTTCTCCTCCCTTATAGACAAGACAGTGGGGACCTTATAGCAAAATTTCAGTTACTAAGGGGAACTGGTCTAGATGTCAAGTTGGAAGATCTCTTTCAAATGGCCCCAAGAAGGAACCTCAGAAAACATGACTGCAAGTTAAGGAAGGAACTAAGCCGAAGAAACCAACGTCCATCCTTCTTCTCTCAAAGGGTCATTCGACAGTGGAACTCCTGGTCAGAAACTATTGTGCATTCACCCATTATGAACGTCTTCAAGAGACTTTTTGATAATTATGTGTTTAAAGCCCAACAGCCACACAACATAAATGACAACAAACACTACAAACAAACGTACTACTCGTTTGATTTCAATAAGGTTTTTTATTTACACTAAAAGATCAAAAGAGGAAGGTCATACTGAATATACACTGAACTTTTGTACGCTACCACTCCGCAAACGCCTCACCTTCTCAACAATTCATGTTTCCAAAGTATTTCTATGCACTTTTGCACAAAAAAGCGTTATGTTACAGTTTGTGCATATTTCACAAAAACTTATGCGTTGCTGTACAGTTTCAATGGATTTTTCAAGGACTTCGGTCATTTACTCCAAATATACTGACTGATACTGACTGAAGGGGTATCTTTCGGCTTAAAAAAATGTATAATTATGATTTTTGTTACGATTTTTAGCGGTTTATTCATAGTATATCGAATTTGTCAATTTACTAATGCTACCTATACTGTATAAAGCATGTTCCACACCTATTGTGACATTATATGCGAACACTGTGGCGCATTCTTCAAACCATAGGCAAAAACGTATCTTTCCTTAACCAATATATAAAGGATGTACACACAGTTTGTAAACCTTGAATTCGAGATTCGCAGTCAGTAAGTTTAAAAATTATTTCGCAATTAAGGAACTTTTTATAGCTGAGAGATGCACTTTTTTACGTATAATATTTAAAGAAGAAGAAATTTGCTACCAAACGAGTACAATAAAAAAATCGTTTACGTTTTCCTGAAAAAAATACTTGAATTTATAAAGTCAGTCAAAATCAATGATAAATGCGCACACTTTTTAAATAGGTACTTTCTTACAGCACATAGGAAGCTCACTCAAAAGCCCGCATCCTATCATGACTAAATTGACTTCAGAATAGACTACACGATACTCAGTATCGCAACGTGAGTCAATGCCGATTAGTCAAAGAGTATCAATATTTAAAATATTTTGGGATGTTGCACGAATTCTGGCGTGTGTTTTATAGTAGCCATAGGCTAATCAACCCTCAGCTGTCATCAGGGCATCAGCGTGTAATAAAAACATCACACAAAAAGGATGTGGGGTCTAGGGGGCAATTATAGCGGTATACGCTAATTAACTGTCGTTGAAGTTAAGGGTCGTTCAGGTCATAAACAGTAATTCGTGATATGCCTTGTCACCACGGTTGAGGGTCCCGGTGATCATGCCCTTCTTCTGGCCAGTTCATCGTGGGGTCCCTTCGTCTTCATTCCTTATGTTCTATTTGCCGTTGTTGCGTCCTTTGCTCACATAATGGCGTAAGTATTTGTAGGCCGTGGGCAGATTGAGATACCTGTTGACGGAGTTGACATGTTTTGCAAGTTGCGAATTCGGCTCTAGTTTCCGAACTGCCAGTTTCTGTTCGCATAGTTGGTTCTGTAAATTTCTTTTTTAATAGCATTACAGTCCCTTCTTTTTGTAACTTATCTTGTTGACAAGTGCAAACGCTTTAGAAGGGGCAGTCTGTTTTCAAGTTACATCACACGGCGACGTATCGTCGCCTGAGGTCGATGAGCTTTGCCTACTCCAGCGAGCTTCAACAGTCATAATATTGGTTCGGAGAAAACTGCAATGTAGGGAACGGCCTTCAAACTTCGGATTGCTTTTGCAACGGCCGTCCTCAGTTCACTTGGCGCTTGTTTTGTTCAGTAAATGAGTTCGGATGAGGTCCTGAAGTTATTTACGCTCAGCTCTTCCGTCGTCTGAAACGCTGCAATGTGCTTCAAGTGTTTGAACGAACGCACAAAAGTTTTTAAGATATGGACCTAAAGTCATATTTCCTTCTGAATAGCATCAGCCAAAAGACTTTATATTTTCACATGTGTTGTACTTTAAATAAAATATGAGCAAGACAGGCGAAATTAATTCCGGTGAATCAAACAGAAAGTCACCTTATTGAAATATAACATTTAAATTTGGTATAAAAAAGTGAAAGCCGTTACTTATATTACGCAACATTTATATCAGACTAATTTACTTAATCTCAAGAAGGCAGTACATAATTGAATACCTTACTAACCTGGTTCGGTAATGGAACATCTTTAATTCGACCGAAGAACCTTCCTAACCTTTCAGCTTCGATCAGGTTAGATCCGTTCAGTGCTTGCATTGCTGCGATCAGTTCTAGATTCGTTCGAAGCGGCACCTCCTCTCCTACCAGATTCAGCAGATATCGCCAACCCGGCTGCTTAAGGGCCATTTCTGCGCACACAAGCTGTGGTTTGAGCACACTGACATCGCCCCACGTTACCGCCACCCGGGACTCCGGTGGCACTACGTGCACATTAGGTCCGAAGCATGTTGCAATTCCCTCTACCGCTTTACTAAAAGCCGGTGAGCTGCGACGGTCAATGTGAATGCAGTAGAAGTTGGCGGGACGATGAATCATGCGGAGCAGACGTGCCAACTGGCGGGCATTTCTGTGAGCGACGATGGTGAAGGCCAACGGATAGGCGGCTTCCTGCGCGGCCACCGGCGACGCCTCTTGAGGCAGGAATGCCCATCTAAATCGTCGACACTTTATATCAGAGAAAGAGTCTATGCTAGCGAAAAAGAGATCCGTTTCTTCGGGATGTGGTGTCTGATAATCCAGCCTTGGCTGAGAACTGTCGTTGAGGTTTGCACAGAATGCCGTAAGACTGATACCGGCCAGGACTCTCTTTTTTACAGTGGAATTCGCTAGCATAATTTTCTTCAGTAGAAACAGAAGGAGGCAGACGAAGTTGATTGTCACAATAAATTAAGTGCCTGTTTTGGTTATTCGCATATTGAAGTGAGTTCGAATATGAGTCCCCGTTTGTTAGTGCGCGAGACAGAACAGTCACCCTGTTGACACCAACCGTAAATATGTTTCTAAAAAAAGCACAAATGCACAATTTCTGGAAAGAAAACTTTTCTTAACATTTACAAAAACGAGAATTTGCTTTTTTTTCTTTAGCGCAGGCTACAATGACTTATCTTCCAATCGTGATCTTGCCTCTGTACCACTAATAAATGTTCGAGTAAACGTGCATAGGCTGACTTTATCGTCTACGCACAATAGACTGCTTTTTAGTCGCCACAACGAATTTTTTAAACTGCTTTTTTTTTTCTTTCGGAATCCTACCTAGCAAAACTTACTGCTAGTATGCATTTTGAATTTATTTCTAGCGCCAGCCGTTTTTACCATCTGTCATCAGCGAACAAGTGAGATGCTCTGAAATTCTGCACCGGTGCTAACGTGTATAATTGGCATCGTGCTTCGGGCTTGATTAAGCAAATTCACATTGTAGGCTCCTGCCCATCTATTGAAGGCCATGATAATTTAGAGGCCATTCACTCCCATGCCTCATGCATGAATAGGAATGCCAAATTAGATGCGATGTACACCAATCGCAGGGGGCTTCGAAACGACCGCAACCAATCCAGACTAGATGTTAACCAACACGCATGTTTTTTTACCACATGTGACTAGGCATTATCGATTTTTCCTGCATGTCTAAGCTGCT